CCAAGACTGACAGACGCATGCCTCTGCCTCGTGCAGCGCGATTGCTTCTTCCTCTCTCCTTGTAGAGGATGTTCTCCCAAGCTAGGCGTACCTTGTGCGGCTTCTACTTTGCCATGATATTTTGACATTGTCTGCTTGTAAACGAAGGCTCAAAGAAGCTGCTGCTTGGTCACGCGATCCCAGCTGGCTGCACGAAACCAGGCTGATGCTGTTGTTAGGCTCGCAATGTGGTACAGATACGCAGAGTACTTCGCCACGCAGTCTTGCGGCCCGCTGCATATTTGCAAGGTGTTACGATGCCAGCAGATAACAGCCTGCGGCCAGTAACGCATGTAGAGCAACCCAATTGAAGCAGGTATTGATGCGTGGAGCGGCACAGAGACGTCCTCGATCGGTTCGAAGCGCTCTCAAGCCTGCGTAGGTCAAGCGTGCAGAACACCTACTGCCCGCTTCACAAGTCTTGGATGCTCGACTTGTTCAGGGCTACCGCAGATTCTGCAACGTTCGGCGCTGACATCCGCATCCGGTGTCCAATCGCGGTACTTGCTATTTGCTGACATGTTGTCCTCGGCATGCCCGTAAAGTGTTCTTTTTGGCCCCCTTACAAAGCGTGAGATCCTGAATGCATGCACCCGCTTGAAGGCGTATTGGGCTCCGAAGGCTCACTGGGGCTTCCGGCAAGTTGTCCCGCTTCATGCCCTCCAGTGCTTAAAATGTTCTTATCCGAGCAAGCGACTCGCAATGACAGACGGTGCTCAACAGTTCAGAGCCCATTGAGCGCGCTGCACTTGAGACATTTTGGAAAGGTGTGAGGATGATGCCATCCATGTTTGACATGCAGCGTTGACCACAAGAGAAAGTGCCGTGGAGTTCAACTCGCCAGCAACAGCCCGGGCAGCCTGCGCAGTTGGCACGCCCAGTTTTCCAGGCAGCCGCGAGCCTCAGCTGGATAATCTCTTCCTGGTCGTGCATTGGACACTTCAGCATCACGATAATTGTTGTCGACCCTGTCCCAAGAGAAGCTTTGGCCCTGTGTCCGTCATTGGGGAGAGGTTAGGAAGCAGTCGGCGTAAGCCACATTGACATGACAGTGTTGAAGCTGTGCACTGCGTAGCTCTCCAGACGTCACGCCGGCATGATCTTGTGAAACAGCTTCCTGCCCCGCATTGTGCACACACACATGCTGCAATTGGAGCAGACGGTGTTGGAGGTCAAGAGCTCCTCTCTTGCAAAAAGTTTGCAAAAAGAGAGCTCAGTTCTGACAGCAGTCTGTGTGGGTAAAGATTGCCCGAGCAAATTTGGTCGTTTCCCAGAAACTTTGCTTATCCGTCGTAAGCAAATCGTTTGGAATGGGAGGTTGTCTTCCACAGTCCGGAGCCAATTGAGCATTATGCGTTTGAGATAGCCTGCTGTCCATCTTGCAAGTCTTAGAAGTTCAAGCCGTGCTCGAACAAGAAGATCAACCCATTACGAGTGGCTCAGATTCTGCAACGTTAGTCGCCGCAGCGTTAATCGCTGACATCTGCATCCGGTGTCCAATCACGGCATTTGCTATTTGTTGACTTCTTGTCCTCGGCATGTCCGAAAAGTGTTCTTTTTTGGGCCCTTGCAAAGCGAGAGATCGTGAAGTAATGTGCTTGATCGAAGCATAATAGTGGGCCCCAAGGGCTCGTCCGGGCTTCCCGCAAGTCAAGCTGCTGCAGCTTCCAAATCCTTGAAGTGTACCTGTACTTTTCCAAGCGCCTGGAATGAATGACAGTCTTCAAAAGTTCAGAGCAGTTGAGCGTGATACACTGGACAGATTTTGGAAAGGTGTGACGCTGTCACTATCCATGTATGACACGCGGCGCTGACCACAAGAGAAAGTGCTGTCGAGTCCAACTTGCGAGCAATTGCGCGGGCAGCATGCGCAGTTGGCACGCCCAGCTTTCCAGGCAGCCGCGAGCCTCAGCTGGATAATCTCTTCCTGGTCGTGCATTGGACACTTTAGCCCCCGAAGAGTCGTTTGTCTTTTGTAACAGAAGACGTTGGCCCCTGTGTGTCTCATGAGCCCAGGTCTGTCAAGCAACTCTTGCCGATCCGCAGAATTTGTATCCTCCCTCATAAGCGACACTTGTGGAATGGAAAGTTGTCGTCCAAAGTCTAGAGCGTATTGAGTATTATGCCTTTGAGGTAGCCTGCTGTCCATCTTGCAAGTCTTAGAAGTTCAAGCCGTGCTCGAACAAGAAGATCAACCCATCACGACTGGCTCAGATTCTGCAACGTTAGTCGCCGCAGCGTTAATCGCTGACATTTGCATCCGGTGTCCACTCACGGCATTGGCTATTTGCAGATCCTGACTTCATGTGCCGGCCTGAAGCGTACTGGGCCTCAAGGCTCGTTGGGGCTTGGTGCAAGCCGTGCAGCTCCAGGCCTGCAAATGCTTGAAATTCATGTATCCAAGCAAGGGGCCTGGAATGAAGGACCGTCTTCAGAGTTTCAGACCCTGTTGAGCCTGATAAATTTGAGAATGCTTGGGAAGGTGTATGCTGTTGCCACCCATGTACAACATGCGTTGCTGACGCAAGGGGGAGCGTCGTTGCATCCATTTTGCGAGCAACAGCTCGGACAGCCCACGTAGTCGGCATGCCTAGTATCCCCAGCAATCGCAAACCTAATGTAGATACCCTCTTGCTGGTCACATGCCCCTGTGTCCATCATCAGGGAGAGGTTAGGAAGCAGTCGGCGTAAGACACATTGACATGACAGTGTTGAAGCTGTGCACTGCGTAGCTCTCCAGACGTCACGCCGGCATGATCTTGTGAAACAGCTTCCTGCCTTGCATAAGAACATGCAAGAACTATTTGGACAAGTGTGACGCTGTCGTCGCCCACGTACGATATTCGGCGCTAACCAGAAGAGAGAGAGTCGCCGAGTCCGATTCACGGCCAGCATCATCAACAGCCCGCTGGTAGCATGCCTAGTCTTTAAATCAGTGGAAAGCCTCAATTAGACAGTCGCCTGGTTGGTCACATGCTGGACAAGTCAGCCCCGGGACAATTCTTGCCTTCGTAACGGAAGAAGCTTTGACCCCGTGTCCGACATTGGGGAGAGGGCAGGGTTATGTGCGATCACCTGCATCGTGCCGCCCAGCTTTGTACTTCACTGCATCGGCTTCAGGACCACCTGCTTGTACCCTAGAACGTCCCTGGACGGTTCTTTCAGGAAGCCGTCCCGCAAGTGAGCTGCTCCTCCACATTGGACGGCATGCTGGGCATCCGGGAAGGTGCAGCGGCAAGAACGCCATTCGCTGAGGCCCTCTGAGCCTTTTCAGCATTTTATGCTGACAGGTTGCGTGGCGTCATGTCGCATCTGCGTCACAAAGCTTATGGCATGGCAGTGGGTAGGCACTTCGGCAGAGGATGGCCGGATGACGCAATCTGGCGTCTCCGCCGTTCAGCCGCCCGGGCTGGCCTTGACAGCCTAAGTTGTGGCCAGCGCGCAAGGCAGTCCAGTTATCGTTCTCTGGCCTTCCAGGTTAACATGTTGCTGGTGAAGGTCTCGCAGGGCAGGTGCCAATTCTAGCTCTGCCTTGCCATTCTTGCCTTTGCGAAAGGCATTGACCTGTAGCTGACATGTTTCCTCTTGGCCATGCTGGCCTGCGCCAATTCAGCTGAGCATTGCCAGAGCATGGCAAAGTCCAAAGTCGCGGCGGCTTCAGGGGCGGATCCGACCAATGCAGCTCTTTCTTTTTCGCGTGCTACAGTGCTTCAGCAGACACTCTGCTTGCCTGTTGCTCGCCTAGCAGATGTCGACGTGACCCTTTTGCTGCTGACCTGCGCTGTCTTTGGACAGGTCGTCGGCGGCAAGGGCGAGCCGGTCAATTCTTTTCATCTGACGCCCCTTGTGAGGTTGCCAGCTTCGGAAGTGGTACCCCAATGGCACACACATCCACGGGGGAAATAAACTGGTGCGTTAGCATCTCTGTAGCACCTCTTGTGACCCAACTGCCAGCGTCCAGAGTGGCAATCACATCGAAAGGCAACTTGGCAAGTCAGGCCAGGCAGGGACGAGCTTTGAAACTAAAGCATGTTATGAACAGTCATGAGCCTGCCGCCAGCTTCCAAAAGCTCAAGTTCTAGACAAATGCAAGCTGTTGGAGGACATTGCCGAGACCCTGCTTTGTGCACGGTCCTGTGCAGGATGCAAAACAGGCGTGCTTGCAAGGGTTCCCTAGCAGGTGAGGTGCTCCTCCAAAGCGTTGTGACGGATTCCTCGTTCAGATTCCTGCAGTAGAAGGACAGAGGTTAGGGTGTGGAAAGCCAACCTTGCTATCCCAAACACGCCTTAAACCCTAAACCCTGACACGCAAGATTCTTTTTTTCAGGCTCAAGGCACCCAGTGGCTTATTCATGCTTGGGCATCATGGCATCACAACGTGAGGCCATGAAAGAGCGTTTCCGTAGACTGCAATGGCTGGCCAGACTTTTGAGACGAGTTATAGTCTATAGGGGACTGGCATACCAAGGGGATGCTAGGAGCTCAGATGAGTATAAGACTCTGATACGTTCTGAGCGTGTTTGATCCTGTGTTGAGGGGCTGTATATGGACAATTCCCACATCCAGAGGTTGTGTTTCAGAAATTTGCAGTCTTTGCACATGTTTAAAGTGAGCCACTTCTAATCCATGTTGCTATTGAGCGATGCTGGTAAGATTGTGCAACGGTATGAGTAGCATTGATCACAAGAAGTGGTGCTAGCTGTTCGAGGTTTCTGACCAGTTGTATTGTTACAGGCCATGCTGACAGCATGTAGCTGCAAGCAAGGACGAGTCACGCCAGCAGCAAAAGATTTAAGCACCAGGACCGAAGGACACCTGAGCATGAGAAATCAACAAACGAGGTGGCAATTGAGCATTGCAAGGGTGAAATTACTGCTACACTCAGAAAGACGTAAATGCAACATTGACAAATCACGCGATCGGATTGCAAAAAGGGTTTTGCTCACTCTTTTCTTGTGCAGGGTGCTGCCGCAGAACAGCTGCTCGACCCTCAGGAGAGGTCTTGATGCGACTGATGTAACTGTTACTATTACTAGTACTAGAACTATAACTATTACTATTACGATTACTATTACTGTTACTATTACTAGTACTGTTACCATTACTATTACTATTGTTTTACAGTTTGCGAGGTCTGCCTATTGGATAATGGAAAAGAAAATGGAAACTACTATAATGGAGACTCAACTGGAAAAGAAAATGGAAAATAAAATGGAAACTGGGATGATTATGGGGTATAGGGCTTATATGTAGTTCGTCTTTTGGGTGAAGCGGAAGGGTCAAACAGTTTGCCCTGATGGCTTTCCCATCCTGTAACCCTGAGGCCTAGCTGGGCTCCCAGGAACACATGTTTCAGACCTAGGGGTTTAGAAATTCGCGAAAGAGGATTATATAGAGTGGTGTACAGGGTACTACTATCAGGGTTATTACGTGGGATACTAGGGGTTTAGATTATAGCTTACATCAAAACCCTGCAGCCCATACGCCTAGACTGAAGACTCCCACCAATTCCCTCTCCAAGGAACAAGGTGTTGCAAAAGGGCTACCAGAACAGCGCTGCAGCATCTGCAAGCTCCTCTGCTAGCTCGACGAGGCATGGAATTGCCCTGAGATCTGAAATCTTCTCTATCATTTGGGTACTGCCCCCCCAGTAACAGTCTATACTAGGGGTCCTATTAAGGGCTATATATAACCAGATTATATTCATTATCCAACTGTTACTGAGTGGGGGCAGTACCCATTCTATCATGCTGCACCCCAGAAGTTTTTCATGAATTTTCTACACTCAACCTCCATGTAAGGGGGACCCAAAGGGACAAGGATTTTGACAACCTGCTACATGGGATTATGGCAGTGAAGGGGCTACATGGGCTTTGTGCTTAGAGGCCGACATTCTCCTGCCCATACAACCTGATATGGGAGTTTCCCCAAAACACGCTCTGCACGATTCCTGCTGAAAACCTCTACGGAACCCTTCGAATTCCTAGGCATCCGGTATCCAGAAGCTGCTTTGCTTGGCAAACAGAATTCCCTCAAAGTATATATTAAAATATAGTAGCTTCTATTTTATTTTCCATTATCCCAATATAAACCCTATATACCCCTATATCCCGTATATAACCCTATATGACGCTATATAACCCTATATAACCCTATATAGCCCTAACCCGCCTGCAGGACGCGCTTTGGATCAGAAGATCCCCTGGATGTTTTCATGGCTGGGGGCATAGAGGGGCCAGGGTCCCTTCACGAGGCTGCAGGAAGATATCGAGGGGTCATGCAGGGATATACAGGGCTTAGGGTTCAGGGTTCAGGGTTCAAGTAGGGTTTGAGGCGCAGGTTTTAGAGTGTTCGGGGTTTAGGGTTCAGAGTTTAGGGTCTGGAGGCCAAATGCTAACACGATTAATTTTAATGGAAAAGAGACGCGTAATACAATGGAGGCCGGCATTATCTGGTGGTTTCTAGGGTTTGGGGCTTGATGATAATAGCTTCCCCGATCCCTGGGAGTATCATCCCCTGTACAAGCCCATAATCGCTCCATATAATCCCTACAATATAGGGATCTCACCTCTAGATCCCTAAACGCTACTTTCAAGATCCCTTTGGGAGTTTAAATTGAAATCCTGGGTGCGGGCGAGATGCTTGAGAGTTCCTTGAGCTTGACGATGGGTCTATGCTTTAGGGTGTATGATCTGGACTCGTTTTCCTGTGGGCTTAAGTTTTTCTAGATCACTTTGGGGAGGATCTCCTTGAATTGTAGATTTCTTTGGGCAGAATGCA